GCCTGCTTTCTATTTTAAATTTTAATTCCCCATCCTCTCTCCTTAAACTCTAGATGGCTTACAACACAAATGAAACAACATAATGTTCATCATCAGAAGGTAATAAAAAAACCCAACCATAATAAAATTATAGCAGTCATAAAACAAAGCAACCATTGGAGCATAAAATCATAGCATCTAGTGCCAAACATTTCAAAGAAATATTTACTGGAATAAAGGACCTTTTTGTTATAGCTAACAAGGTACATGAACATCACAGCAAAGTGCTGGTATGTCTCAGTTCTCTATTTATTACCCATGTTTATCCTAACCTTTTAAAGGTGTTCAGAGTGCACAAGTGATTTGTTTTGTGGATCAGGCTGAGAAATGGAAATATGCTTGACATCACTCTGGCAATTGCTATTAAGATTTTGTTCAAACCTACATAGCTTTTCTCAGTTGTCGAGAGAGCTAGGAGCAGGATTTTTCAGTGGTTCTGAAACTAAACATGAGAGAACAAAACCTTAATTCAAATAGAGACATATTGTTTAAACTTTAGGAGGCACTATAAGATATCTGGGCAGAGCAATTCAGGCACCATTCGGAGAATATTGTACATCAGATCATTCCAAATTATACAAACTAGTGATAGCATGGAAGTAAAGGAGAAGCAGGTTTCACCTTCCATACCCTTTGTGATCCATGGTTGATCTAAATTTTCCTGTATCCCAGAAACAGACCCATATCACATTCCCTTAGGGGTTTTTCCTGAAGTCAAAATGCATCAGCTATAGAAATTGATGAGGAGGTGGGAAAAATCTGACTTTTTCCTCCCATGATTGTGACCTTAAGGCAGAAATCCTAGAGATCTGGTCCAGAGGTGGTATTCAGCAGGTTCTGAGCAGTTCTGGAGAACCGGTAGCGGAGATTTTGAATAGTTCGGAGAATTAGCAAATACCACCTCTGACTGGAGATTTTGCAGTATCCTTCTCCTGCCATGCTCAGAGAACTAGTAGTAAAAAAAATTGAATCCCACCACTGATCTGGTTGCCCTACTGAGGTGTCTTAGAAGCATTACAAAACTGCAGATTTTGTGGCCTTTGACCTTCTTGCCTGTCCTTTCTTGTATCTTGTTCAACAAATTGTTCACTTTAGCATTTTAACTACAAATCTCTTGTTTGTGTAAAGAGAACTTTAGAATCTACTGCATGTTCACATTGGATTCTGCATCGTCACATACCGATTCTGAAAAGAGTAGGGAAAATATTAAGAGTTCCAAAACAGATACTGCTGAGTTTTAATGCAGTATTACTAGAGTTTCAGAAAAGAAAATCTGATGCCCTTTTCTTACCTCATGACATCTAAATAGTGATTGAACATAACAATACTCATCAGCATGTGTATGTGTTATGTATGTATCCACCTATACCTAGAGTGAAATCTTTGTAACATGTGACTCCAAGCAATTTCCTTCTTCTATTGACTTCATAGCTGAATGTATATAATGGGCTGTAAGAATAAATTGGGAGAGCCTCAGCCTAGATAATGGTCTGATAAAGAGAAACGTGAGTCAAAGGAAGGCCGGGGGTAGAGAAAGCATTCCAGGAGAGACCCTCCCTGGTTTTCTGGATGTAAAAGTAGGAAGGGAGGAAACTGACTTGTGACATTGTCACTGCAATTTTACAATAAAAATAGCATTATTACTCATGGTTTTGATTTTTTATCAGGCCTACCTTGAATGTCTGATAATGTATTTATGGCTTAGTTTATTTATACAATTAATTTGGACACACATCTGACAAGTGTGAATCTTTATCTTGGCTGTTGTAGATACTTTTCTTAATCTTCAAAAACAGTTAAGTTAAACAAAAACCAGATAAATTTATTATTAATACACCTACAATAAAATAATAATTATGTAAGTATTAGTAGAAAAAGACAATTCTTGAAGTAAAAATTTTAAGAAAAACTACACACAGGAAAATTCTTTCAGCAATGTCTAAAAGAATTCAGAGTTTTCTTCCCTGAAACTCATATATAGCCATTTTATTTCCATTGTTCATCATATTAAGTAGACATGGCTAGGATATTGTTTGTTTAATCACAATTTATTGATTAATGAATAATTGGTTTGGCTCAAACAAGATACTATATTGTAAGTTGTGGTATACAATGCACAATATCTGGCTTAACACATTTTCTGTATGGGGAAGCCCTCATTCTCCCATATCTCACCTATCAGCCTTTATATTTTCTCAAGCTTTCAAGTGTGCCCACTGGCAAAACAAGTTTCTTGCTTCAGTGTGTTAAGCGTGTTTGCTCAGTAGTCCAAAAGGGTATTTTTGCAATTTTGAATTTAATGCTACTACAGGTAGGCCTTGACTTATAACCATTCATTTACTGATCGTTTGAAGTTACAGTACTGAAAAAAAAAGTGACAACAAATATTCATACTTGCAGCATCCCCAGTTGTGTGATCAAAATTTGGGTGCTTAGCATCTGTCATGTATTTATGACAAATTGCCTTGTCTGGGGGTCATGTGTCATGTTGTTGGAAGAAATATCCTTCTGGGTTCAGTTCCAAGTAGGGAAAAAGACACTGGAAACATGGAGGCTGTTTGGAAGGTTTAATAATGGACAGGACCACATGGCCTGAAGCTCCAGAGTGAAAAAGGAAGAGATCAAGAAAAAAGGGCTGAGGTGCTGAGAGTGTCTGGGTTTTATACCCCCTGTTGGGATTTGAATTTGTATTCTGATTGGTTGTCAGACTCCCATGGGCAACTCTGTAGGCTGTCCTGAGTTCCAGGCTTGGTCTAGCCTTGCTGGATGATTTATGCCCTTAAAAGGGCTTTTGGTGATTGCTATAGCTTTACCTGGAGTTCCTTGTTATGTAAAGTATTATGGCGCAGGCCTTAATGGCCCACCCATTAACGAAGGTGGGGGTGAGCTTCTGCTTCTGAGGTGAGTTTCTGTTTCTGAGTTTCTATTCTTTTTAGAAGAAATATTATACCTTTTTAATATTTCCTAGGCTATTTCAATTTTCTAGGAGAGGGCTGGGTGCTAACTTCCTACAATGTGATTGCTATTTGTGACCTTCCTGGCAGCAAACTCAATGGGGTTCATGGATTCACTTAACATGGATTAATATGGATTAAACATGGATTCACTTAACCACTCATTTTACTACAGTGAAGAGCTTAACAACTATGACAATAAGGATCATACAATCGGACAGGACTCTTCTTAACAAGCTTTGCTTTGCAACAAAAATGCTGGTCCTAGTTGTGGTCCTAAATCAAAGACTATCTATGTTGGTAGATTTTTACCACTCACTTTCTGCAGGCTAGGCCTCGAGATTTGGTCTTTCCAAACAAAGTGGGGTCCTGGCTGAGAAGGAATCACTCTCACTGGAACCCCAGTTCTCTTTGCAAGAAAATAAGACTTCTTTGCATTAGCTGTTTGTTCAGGATTTTTTTTCCTTGTAAAAAGCTTTGGAGAAATAATGGAACAGCTGTGGAGTACCCAGTTGCCTTCCTTTAATGCAATTGCTAATGTGAAGTTAAGCCAAATAATAGTTTTAAGGTCATTTTAAAAGCTTAGTTTTTATTTATTTTTATTTATTGATCAAATGTATATGACCAGCTATCTTGTGGAAGGTTTGGCGGGGAGGATAGCTATGTCCAAAGGTACAGCAGCTGAATCATATTTTCACTAAAGCCATTATGTTTAAAAGGGAAACTACAATATTTCCTAAATTCTGGCAAGTTACATTTTGATTGGATTGTCATACTCAGAACTACAGGACTGATAAAACAGTATTTCTTCAGCTAAGTTCTTTCATTCTGATCTGACAGATCATTAAGGCTTTTCCTTGTAATTCAGTGTATGTGAACGGTGGTCACATTGCTTTTCCAGATTTTTACATGGTTGAAGAGAAAGAATTACTGTATAAATATTGAAAGAGAGGAAGATGGTTGCATGTAATGTTTGACCTAAACTTTATTCACACATCCTTGTATCACATGAGTCACATTGTTCAGCAAAGCGAGTGATTTGGAACAGAGGCATTATTTAGTAAACTCCTGGAGGTTGAGAATTCTGGGAGTCCAAACACTTGATGCTGTATTCTTCGACAGAGAATGTCACTGATAGTAATTTTAATCCAAGAAATTTACCATACTTTATGATGGCTGTTAATACTAATGGATGCCTGTCGGTTAGGAAATTCACCGTGAGGACATTTAATCACCACGGTGATCATTACAACTCGGTACCTCACCGTAAGGCTTGCCAACACGTGACACGCAGCACAACAAAGCACGGAACCACCATCGCGGCCGTTAACGCTCATGCTCTCAGCATCCCGTCCCGAAAAGAAGCAACATCCCCTCCGTTTCCTCGTCTGTGGAGGGACTCGTCTCAATATTCCCCGCTTACATTCCTGACAGATGTGCGCAATCCAGTGCAGAAAAATAAAGCAATGGACGTCTCCTGGCCGGCCCTTGTACTTCTGACAGATAACCCCCCTCTCCACCCCGGGAGAGCTGCTTTCAGCGGCAGGCCAATCTCCTCTCTTTGTGTTTCGACCATGGCTTAAGCGGAGTCTCTCCCGCAGGCGAAAACTTAGGTGCCCGAATCTCCTCGCCTCGATCCATCGGGTCTTTGACTTAGAATCTTACAGCGTTTGTCCGCCTCGTCCGAGACGTTCCGGCCAATCCCCTCAGAAGGCTCCGCAGCGCTGCTTCGCTTCGCTTTAGCGCCAGGCGCCGAGCCCTCCCCCCGCCCCTCCGCTTCTCCCTCCACCTCGCGAGTCTTGCCGGGCGTCCCCCTTCCTTCGCCTCCCTCTCCCTTCCCCGCCCCCCCCCCCCACCACCACCATTGCGTATCTTGGGGCCGCCTCTTCTTTCTCCACTTGCTGACGACAAGCCCGCCCAAAGTGCCCTCCGTCTTCCTCCCCCTCCTTCTTTCCTCCCTTCCTCGGAGAGAGAGAGAGAGGAGCAGAGCCGGGGCTGAGCGGAACGGTCCCGCCTCCGGGTCCCCGCCCTTCCCACATCCGAGCCAGCGGCCGCTCCGACTAGCCGCGCCGGCACCGAAGGGGACGAGGGAAGCAGCCTAGCCGCCCGTGTGGGGGGCAGCGACGACCCCGCCCCACCCCTTCGATCAGCTCCGCTCGAGCGGTGGTGCCGAGGGAGCCCGGGCTCGCGTCCCTTTAGCTCGCCCCTCTGTTTTCTCGGCCGGCCGGCCGGAGCCAAGCGGCGCCATGGGCTGCACGGTGAGCGCCGAAGACAAAGCGGCCGCCGAGCGTTCCAAGATGATCGATAAGAACCTGCGGGAGGACGGCGAGAAGGCGGCGCGGGAGGTGAAGCTGCTTCTCCTCGGTGAGGTCTCCTTCCCCGACAGCGCCCTTGCCGCCCTCCCCCCCCCCTGCCCGCCCAGCCCCAGCGTTTGGTCTGCGGGGCTCGGCTCTCTGAGGTCCGCTTCCTCGGGAGGAAAAGCGCCCAACAAACGGACCGGGAGGACAAGCGCGCGCCCACGCCCTGGCCGCCTGGTTTCCGTGCCCGACGTCTGCTTTCCGCCACCTCCCTGACTGCGCCCCCTACCTTCCTCTGCACTCGAGGGACTTTCCGCTTCTCCGATCGCCCGGATCCATCTCGGGCTACTGAAGCGTTACCTCGGGGTTTTTCGACGGCCGCCATATCCCTAGACCCGGACTCGGGGGCAGTGGGTGAACGATCGCCACGCCGTCCCGTTCTCTCCCCCACCCCCGGCCCAAAGACTCCTTTAAGGAAGGCAGCCGGGACTGTTCAGTTTTATACGGCGTCCAAAGAGTTACAAGCCGTGCGGGGTGGCGGGGGGGGGGGGAGCAAACCCGCCCTAGCCGAGCATCCCATTTTGTTTTCCCAAGCTAAACAACTCGGCTCCTCATGACCACAGTTTGGGTTTTTTTTGCCTCCCCCTTCGTCGCGGGCTCTTTTGCTTCTCAGGAGAGCTAACATGGCCATGCTCCCAAATCATCCCCGCGGAGACGTCCCCCCCCCCGCCCCCCTTTAGCTTACTTGGTTTCTAAATTTGGCTTGGCACGTCCAGTCCTCAGCTGCTTTTCCTTTATAGTGGGTGATCCTTCTGAAAACTTACCGAGGCCACAACCTAAAATATGCCTGAACCCCTCCCTCCCTTGCCCCGTATGTTTTTCATTCCTCCCACAGGCCTCACAGTTTTTGTTTCCGTTATCAGTGGATTACGGTTGATGGTGGCTCCGCATTTGCTACTTTCTGCCACCTGTGGTAGTCTTGGGGAAGAATAATTTCAACTGCAAGTAAGCTACAATTGTTCTAGAAAGCAAACCCTTCTGGTCTCCAAAGGATTATTGCTGTATCATTCCCATCTATCCTATTCACCCAGTGTCCCTCTGCAGAGGATGGGAGTTGTAGTTAAAACAGCTAAGAGATGGCAGATTGGAAAGTTCCCAGCAAAGAGAAATAACTTGAATATTTTGATAGAAGGCTCCTGCACATTCTCACACACACACACACACACACACACACACACACGTATATACATGGAAAACACCAAGTTACTAAATAATGCTAATCACATTTCTGTTTCCCCTGACACATCATGTTAAGGAATATTTCTTTCTGAAAGCTGTAAGTCTTGTGATTTTGCTTCCCTTATCCAATTTCAAACATGTTCTGTGTTTGGTTAAGATAATTAAACTTTTTTGTCTTTTAACTCTCAGTAGGATTTGGTGCTGTTTCTTATATAAACGTTTGCTGTTTTACATTTCCTTCCTTCCTTTTTTTTTTTTTTGAAAAAGAAAAAAAGAAACCTCATTGCACAAGCTAAAGGAAGTTTAGCCAAACATCTGTGCTTTCTTTGTACTTTTGAATAGTTCTTCATTTGAATAGTTGGGTGAACTTCATTTCCATGCATGAAAATAGTTGTCATTGAAGAGGAGTATGTAGGTTAGAGACAGGAATTCTGGAAAAAGGACAGAAATGAATGAGTGGGTTGATTTAATATGTGGCACAAGAGTATTTTTTTCTGTTATGGTAACAGGGAAATTTATAAAAGAAAGACCTAGCTGTTTCTTGACTAAGAAGGCATGATTGGCTCATCAGAAGCAATATGGAGTGGACATGCATAATGACAGATTTTTGCTATATTTTATCAAGTGGGATTCACATTGTTAATAATTAAACCACAAGATATAGTGGTCACCTCCAGCTTTTAGAGGGACTAAATTAGACAAATATATAGCTGTTGCTAGTTATGACCCAGCTATACAAAGCAGGATATCTTTTAACACTAGCTCTTGGAGGGAAGGGTATTTTTGTGCTCCTACTCGGCTGGTTGATTTCTCAAAGGCATCTCTTTCCTCCCACGCTTCTACATAATCAAACTGACATTAAAAAAAGTCATGGCAAGCGTGAATAGTGTATGTCATTAGAGACTTGTTGTTGGCAAATGCATTGTAAAAAGTTCATTTTGAAGCGAAATCATTGGAAGCGGAGTATAAGGAGTCCATGGCTTAAGACCGTGATGGCGAACCTATGGCATATGTGCCTGAAGTGGCATGCAGAGCCATCTTTCCGGGCATGCCAGGTGTCACCTGTTGCTCTTCCGGGTTCCGGTGCGCTCATGCACACCAGGGAGCTGCTCTTCCGGTTTTCAGTGCTCCCTCCCCCCACACATTCATTTCGGCACTCTGTGCCAAAAATCATCAATACTGATTTAAGACAATTGAGCCCAGAATTATGATCATAAGTCATGGTTGTTAAGTGGATCACCATATGACTACTCCTGTCCTTACAACATTTTTGTGGTGGTTATTAAGCAAATGGACTGAATGAATCCATGCTACCCAATGGGCATTTTTTTGGATGAAAACTGACAAAAACCACCAAAAATTGCAGTTGCATGACTGTGGGACACTGCAAACAATTGGTGAGCCACTTGCCAAGTGTCCAAAATGTGATCATATAATGCCAGGGCTACGTGTAGCCATTGTAACTTTGAAATTGTATCATAAGTACCTTTGGGGTGGGTGGGTGTCTGCTTTAAGTTTGAACAATTGCTAAGTGACTTGTAAATTATCTTATGTTTTGTCAGTGAAATAACATTCTGTTAGACAGATAATTTTCTGATTAGTCCGCTAATTCTGTGTTTATTTTAAAAATGTGATAGAAGTGCTCAGCTTACAAACATGGAATACAATAAAATTAGTTATTCACACACACACAGCCTATATAGCCCAAGAAGTAAGTCTATACCCCAATAATACTGGTAATACAGTACTAAAATAGGAGATATCTTGACTATAATCAAGTTCAATGCTTTATCGTTGTCTATAACTTTCATTAATAAAAGGTATGTATATTTTCAGAGATTATCATAATATACCCTCTTAAATTACATATAGTTCAAGTACTTTAAACTACATTTTTTACTTTTGAATCCCATCTATAAATTTTGCTTTCTTCAATTAAGCATGGCAAGAGTCTCATAAAGATAAATGATTATGTGTAATTATATTGAATTGTAGTTTGAGGCTAGGTTTTTTTTTTCTTAATTGGCATGAATCTATGAAAAGGAAGCAATGCTGATTTTGGTTAAGTTATGAGCTATATTTTTGTTTAAACAGATTTAAAATTAAACATGTATTACAATACAGTAGTTAATTCTAGCAGTGCTGTATGTTAACATCCTCAAACTTTTAATGATGTATTATTTGAGCAGAATTCATAGAATTGTAGGATTGAAGGGGATTTCTAGTCTAGTCTCTTGCCCAGTGCAGGAATCTCCCATTATTCTTGATAAATGGCTGATCAGTGACTGACTGCACTTTTAATTAGTCAAAGTTATTGAAAAACCTCATAAATTTAAAAACATTTCAGTACAAAGTTTGACCTTTTAAAAAAGATGTGCAATATGAAAATTTCCACCTCTGTTTTGATAGTGGAAAGAAAGTGGAAATGTATAAACATTAAACCATACATTTCAGAGTTATCACAGCTTTTACTGATAATTTTTTTCAACCACACTATAAACCACCCCCGCCTAATACATAAACAGATGTGTGTTTCTATAGAAATTGTCTGATGCATACAGAAAGATTTTTGTCAACTTTTTAGTAGAATTCGTTTGTGTTTCAAAAATCCCTGACCTTAAACTTGTAGTTTTTCCCATGAGGCTGTTGCTTTTATGTCTTTTAATCTAAAGTGTCCTTTGGGAATGAATTAACAGCTTTTTAAATAATTGGTTAGCAATTTTTGATGTACACAGATGCTTCTGTTATTGAAACGAGAATGATGAATTCCATATAGCAGCCTCAACTTAAATAATAAAATGCTGACAATATCAAAAGAAAATGTTTTGAATATCCATTTGAGCTGAGTTGATATTCATGGACTTTTCTCAGACAGTGAAAAAGGAAGAATGTTGCAAAACATAATTTGTTTATTTTAGAATACTTATATGTTGCCATTCCTTAGGCTAACTGATAAAAAATACAGTTGAAAAGTAAGTTTCCCTAAATATTAAATTATACCTTATTTTACATAATTTAAGAGGGTATATTATATATGATATTTTAAATATTAAAACCAGTTTACATGTGCAATTGAAATTCTATAATGACTGAAGATATAAGAACTTCTGAATTGTATGGGCTTGCTTGCAATGCAAAAATAATCTTCATTATAGTGTTGATAACATTATTTCCCAGTGTATTGTCAAAAATTGTAAATATTATTCAAGTGGACTTTGATGATGCAAATAGTTAAGAAAACCAATTATTGAATTATAGGTAAAACTGAATTCATATAAATGCACACTTTCTGTTTCTTGCATGTTGTACTTGCCCATGTAATATAAATATATGATTTGTTTTTCAAAGCAAAAACAGCAATATCCCTGGACTTGTATATCCTACTTTGGCTCTCTTTAACATGGCATGAGATGAAATAAAATAATTCTGCTGCTGGTTTTGATTAACTGCATTTCAGCCTTACATCTTCACTTAACTGTAATTAATTTTATTTGTGGTTTGTTGAAGCCAGTCAGTTTTGCAAATTATATTTTGAAATTAGCTTGTTTGCCAACAGTAGTTGAGACTAGAGCTGATCTCTTTGAAATATTACAGCAAGTTGAGGTTAACGTAAAAGGGAAGTCAGATGCTTCCACGTTTTTTGTGTTTTTTTTGAGTGTTGCTGATGGTGGGAACAGGTAGGCTTGAGATTGGATTATTTTCATAAAATTAAACCATGGTTTATCATTATGTGCAAACGGAACTGTATTCACAGGTCATTTGAAACTGGAAATTATTTAAACCAGAGAACTTGGTGAGATATATTTCTTTTTTAATAGATAATTTCTC